TTTACGAGAAGTATCTTAACGCAAATCTTCCCTTAATTTACAAATATATAACAAAGTTTGCTGTGTTGCATTTACTGTTGGCTGTTATGTAAAAATTATGTCATATTAGAAATGCATAATGTGCATTTGTTTGAAGTGATGTCCTGCAAATAGTTTTTCTTACAAAATATTTTTAGATTCATTGTAAGCCCTACATAGAATAACCTGCTTAATCATCACACTGATCCTGAACACCTGAACTGACATACTATTTATTTGCTGTACAATGAAAGTACATTCAAGCTGGAGCCTTCAAATCGGTCGCGTTGTAAATTGCTTTGCCAGGATAAAAGGTCCCCCATCACACACATCTAGTTGGGAGAGTCAGTACCTGTGAAATCTCACTCTTAAGTTACTAAGAAAGAAGCTTTGTTTCAGTATAGATGGAGTAAAACTGCCATTAACTTACTAAAAGCCAGTATTGCTTCTCAAAGACTGTGCCATTCATATTTACACAAATCAGAGAACTTCGGCAAACTGCTTGCATGGGGTGACTCTGCTGTTAATGTGTGGTACCAAGCAAAGAGCTGGCGATGGCAAGGGCAAGAGTCTGTTCTGGAAATGCAGCCATCAGAGTGTTCAGGTAATCATAATAGAGAATTCAGATCTTAAGTAAAGTTAGTTTATGTTCTGAGTTACTCGTTATGTTCTCTGTTACTCGTTAACAGAGCAGATTATATGCACGGCTTTTTTTGAAGCTAGTTTTAGCAGGACATAGCAGGAGAAACAGCTGTTAATAAGTGAAATAGTGGCGTGGTGGCAATGTCGAGATACTGAAGGATAAAGTTAGATACACCAGGTATATTGCTGCCCATCCTTAACTGGCCTGAGGCTAGATAAGAAATTAGGACAGAAAAAATGGTAGTTAAAGATTCATGATTTAAACAATGTACCTTGGTCTGATAGGTAGGATGTAGCCATCAAAAAGCAGAAGTGGAACTGATAAGTTGCTAACCCAGTGAGCCAACCCTGAAGAACTGCTCTGACTTCCCAAAAGACTGTGGCCTTAAAGGAAAGTGAATTTCAGCAGGGGGAGATCGAGACCGCCCACTCAGAGACACTCTGCTCATTTCATGTCACGGCCTCAAAAGAAGGAAGCAAAGTAGTAAGATTGAGCCTGCTTACAAAATTACATGCTAGGTGAAGTGATTTTAACCAGTCTGAATACATGAACGCTTTGTGTATAAACAACTGTGGATTTAAAGACTTGGTCTGTATAATGGAAGGACAATCAGCCTTTGGAGCAGGTGATCTGAATTCTGTAAATTAAGGGGGCAGGGACCCATACATGCGCACGTATGCAACGAAAGGAAATAACTACACTCTGTGTGTGACCTGGCTCTTGGCACACCAGGTGACAGACCTGACTTCTGGGACAGCAGTGGGTCACTGCAAATTAGCTCTGTGCTGTTTTTACCCCCATGTTGCACATCACCTAAATGGCAACGAAGGCTGTAAGTGCCAGTGAATAACATCAAGGAAGTAAAACAAAGAGAGTGATAATGAAAGCCTATTAGATGAAGTCTTGTTTTCAATTAGCAGAAATAAGAGGAGCTACATACTGTATGAAAGATGTAAAACCATTTTATTTCTTAGCTCTATTAAAGTTACATGAACAAGAACATAAATCACTGTTTACTTTTCTCTATACGACTGTCTGGCTGACTCCTCTTGTTGCTTTGCTTATGTTAGGTCCCTCTCCTGGGTCAACAATTCTTCCACTTCTCCAAAGAGCTCAAATATATCTGATGTATTTATCTACCTTAGCATTGGGCGACATCATAGTTATTTCTTGAAATGGGTATGCGTGGCATGCAGAATCTAATGTTTGAATGACTACTTCATCTGCAGTCTCACAGCCACAGAAACCTCTGGAGCACCAACTGACATCTACTAGTGTCTGAGCTGTACTTTCCTACATTTTCACTTGCTTATTTTGCATTCATAAAAACAAGGGTTTTCATTTGTGGAAACTTCAAAAGAAGAGGAATTGATGTATATTTGTAGAGGAGTGTAACCAAAGTCAGTATTAAAGTTTATAGAGAGATATCTAGAGAGAGGCCTTTTCTCCTAAGTGTAACTTGGGTCACGTGCATGCGTATGTGGGAAACAAAATCTTAAAGCATACATTGCTCAAATTCCAGGATGTAATGACTATTAGGGACAGACACAGTTCTCTCTTGAGCAGGTGTTTTTAGTGACAACAAGCAAAGAATAACCAAATAAGTAACTACTTCAAGGCTTTTGCAGGTGTCATTCTATCTACGCGAACAGCAGATAGAGTTATGGACACCAACAGGAACATCCTTATCTTCCTCAGGGACTTGGCAAAGAAGAGTTATAATGACTAACAAGAACATCTTTATGTTCCTCAAGGACCTGGGAAACTTCTAAGTCAACAATATTACTTATGACTTAGTGCATTACAGGACAATGTGGGAAAGAATGTGCACTGCCAAAAGAGCGCTAGAGACCCCTCACGACCACCCTAGCTACACAAAACGCACGCGTAATCAGTATGCAAACAGGATATTAAGTTACCGGCAATCTCTTGAATATGCATGATGATCCCAGGAAATGCAGTGCATATGTATGTAGCCTGCTAATCTAACCAAGGGCTGCAATGGCTTGATAGCAAGCAGTAAGAACTAAAGAACGCTTAAGCATTTATCCATGGGTTATACTCGACAAAAGCATGAAGCAAGAAATCCAATACAGTTGCTTCAGCAGCAACAGCTATTAAAAGCGCAACGAAGAGTAACTAGGTCTTAGTGGCACTAGACTTTTTCTCCATTTCAATGGATTCTGAAGCAATAAAACTGACACCAGCTCCAAGGCTTGAGCGTCTCAAAGATAATTCAGGGGGAGGAATAGGATGTAGCTCTTGGCGAGATAGTTTTACTAGAGTTACTCCCTGAAACTGCGTTCCATTTTCTCTTCTCTGGATGACAGAAGGTAGATGAGGATGAGATTTTGAAGGCTGAGCTTCACTGGTTCCTGTTTTGTCATCACTAGTGCTTGACAGACATTCTTTGTTGCACCCAAATTTGGAAACATCTTCTCCAAGCTTGTATGAATTCTGCTGAGCTCTTAAAATACTTGTTCTTTCAGTTTCTTTTATTTTCTCTGGTCGACTATTGGTTTCAGGATTAAGTGTAAACCTGAATTCTTCATAAGCAACTTCTGCTCCATCTTGACTGGATGCCTTGTCATCAGCACTGTTATCTAAAATGAAATTTATGAGGCGAGAAATAGCTAAAAGTTACAACTCTTCTGAGTGCCTGCCATCAAGAAACATTAGTTAGTCAATACGGTTTTACAGCATCAGTAACTTGCAGTATGAACATGGTAGGAAATTATCAGAACCTCACGTTTTGTCCTTTCTTGAAGAAGTTTGTCATCTACAAAAACATCAGTGATACTAGCTGTTACTTTCCTCTGACAAGGTGCTGGTAATACACACCTCACCATTCTAACTCATCTCCTAGTAGGCAGTCTTAAAGCAGCTGAGCCATGACAGTCAAATATGATATTATGCATATATTGAAAAACCATCAGCAATTACACTATCACAACACATAAAACTCATTCTGTAAATTTGACTGTAATGTGCACACAGGGCTTTAATGATTTTTAAAGCTCAGCAACAAATTCTAAAGCATTTTTCTTACTTTGTTGATACCAAGAACCCTTCTGCTTAAACAATGTGACATTGAAAGTTAGTTACGTATCAGCCAGGCCTAGTCACATTTATAGTCTAAAATAGATAACAGGAGACTTGAGGCCTTGAATCTTTGATAAGGTCGTGATGCTAGAATAAACCATTTTTGTGGAGACAGAAGTGTTGTAAACAGGCCAAGAGATGAACTAAGCATGCCAGAAGAAAAGTTCAACTAAAGGGCACAGTGACTAAAGTTTCTATGATCATCAGACGATCCCCAAGGATGACCAGGACAGATGTGAAAAGGATATTTATATATATTAATGAATAAGACAAAGCAGTTAGTTACGACGTCATTCAGACCCTTCCAGATAGTAAAATTCCTTTTTCTTAACCACAACAGTTTGGGGTTGTAGATGCTGAAATTATGTTAGAATCCAGAGAAAACAGAACAAGATTTTAAACAACTGGTATACCACTGGTACAGCTACAAACCAATGCTGTCTCTCCTTTGAAAGGGGAGAAGAGGTGTAATCTGTTCCTGGAGATTCAGGATGTTAGTTCAGTCAAAGTAGGATTTTTATGTCTATCTGATAAACTTCTCTGTGTTCACCACCCTCCAAATGGTCAATTGCATAAATATTTTGAGAAAATGTACTTACATTTAGTGGATGCCAATAATTGATGGGGTGACTCTCCAAAGAGGCCCTTCAATTTCTTCTTCAGCTCTCTGCTGGTTTTCTTATAGAAAAATAAGTCTTTTTCCAGTTGCTGAACTTTTACTTCATACCCTTTCAAGATTTCTCCAGTACCTTCACTATCTTGTTCTAGGACAGGTAAAATCAGTTTAAGAACAAAGTGTCTCTGTGCCAAAAATCAAGATGCCCAACTAGACACAATATGTCTTGGATCTTGCTGACACTTTACTTGCAGTGTGTACATTTTAACTAGTCCGTGCCAAGCCCACTTGTCAGTTGTAATAGGAGTATTTAGAACATCAAGATCAGCAGGACTGGTATCTTTCAGTATCAGTGAATTCAATATGAAAATACAACAATTTTCATACTGCTTTAAAAAAAAACAAAACAAAAACCCCCCAGTTTTCTGTTCATACAGACACCACATGTCCACTCCTCAGCATCCTTCACAACATCTGATTTAGTGACAGCCAAAATATATCTCTGGATATTGTTCTTTTTTTTTATTTCAGTTGGAAAATAGTATTGGAGTCACTGCAGACAATACTGTACAATCCCCCTCAGGAAGTAAATACCTTTGAAATTATGCAGTATTAGCTGTAGTTTTTTCTCATGTTCTTTGTGTTGTAGGGTCAGCTGCCTGTCACACTGCAACTTGACGTGTTCAAGAGCAGATTCTAATTCATGTATTCTGTTTTCCTGGTCCCTGACCTTCACTGTCTGTTCTTCAATCTGCAGTTGTAATTTGCGTTCAGACTCACGTAGGCCAACAATCTAAGAAAAAATACACTTCTTTTGGATTAGGAAACCATTTTCATAAAAGCTCTCACCCATCTTCTTAACAGAATAAAGCATACAAAAGCAATGGTCTCTTTGAGCCATAAGCTTCTGTTGGAAACTTGTATCGCCCTCTGCTACAAGTTCCTACTTTAGAAATGAGCTCTCTACCTTTTGATCACATGGATTAGTGGATTTTTTTAATACCCTGTGCAGAATTTAAACTGAAACAACAGTGTTTTCCTGATTCTGGAAATCTTCCAAATTGTAACCCACAGACAACTTGCTCACAAAAATCACCCAAGCTTCACCCAAGGTCACAAAGACACACCATGCCCTAATGCGTTTCAGTTTTATGTTTCCAGATGACAGTATGATTCTTCAGTATGTGGCTGTACACAGAGCAGGCAGCGTACGCAAAAAGAGTTTATACTGGATTTAGAACAAAAATAGGGATACTACCCTGAGCTTTATGAAGCTTGCAGTTGGGAAGAATTTCAATACACCACCACTATTTAAATATGCTGCTGCTCCCAAAAGTTAGCGACACAGAGCACAGGAAAGGAGTGAGGAAATTGCCAGATTTGCAGCACCTTTTAAGCTAATGACCCCCAAACAAATTATACAAAGTTAACACACAAGTATCCTATTTAGGTTAATGTCAAAATTAAAAATATCTGAACTTATAGCAGATGTATGTAACCTGAAGAGATTTTCACCAAAAGCTTGTTAATTTTTTTTTTTCTTTCTTGACACCATTTCACTTCATTATCTAGAACAGTAACAGAAAATAGAATAAAATAGTGTTCATTAGCCAAAACAAACCTTGTTGAAATACTTCAAGAGGATAGCTCTGAGCTCAGCAGCAGACAGGGAAACTAGTTTTCCTATTACATTATTCTCGCTTTGTGAAAGAATCTGAGAGGATGACCTAAGCAAGTGCTGTTGATTCCGAATACTCTCATTTTTGTAATCAATAGCAGCCTCCAGTGCTTCAACTCCTTCTTCCAGCTGGAACAGGACATGTTCTTCCTACAGAGAAACACATGAGTGAGATCTTTAACAAGTGTAGAATTAATGTTTCTATACACAAGATATTCTTTAACTTCATTCTCAGGAGTGAAACAAGACTTAAGGGCAAGGCAAAGTAGTACTAGTACAGAGACTGGAATGGGAAAAATAAGAGGTAGAGTACAAATCTAGAACACTCGTCGTCTTCTGTCATAGTATCCCTTCCATGATACAGAGGTCAATCAAATGGTTCATCACAAAAACAGAAGTCATGTTTCCCTTTTTATCCTGCCCTCATCCACCCCACAGTTTGACTTCTGCTATTATTTTTTGGGTTGTGCTAGTTTTTTGTTGGATTAATGAATGAATCAGGTCAGTA